AAAGCATAAGCAAAACATACAGCAGTCTTAAGATACTGATAAGTGGCATAAAGAAGAGAGAAAGTAGAGCAGAGCAAAGAGGTTTGGGAATACTAGACTGGGGTTGGGGACAGATTGCTGTATTAAATGGGGTTCAGGGAGGCCTCTTTAGGAAGTACAAAGATTAGAGGTAAGAGTTAGCTATTTCACCATCTCAGAAAGAGTTACAACAAGAGGGAACAACTAGAGCAAAGGTCCCTTGCTGGAGCATGACTGGAGCATTCAAGGAAAATTAAGGCAGCCAGTATAGCTGGAATATTGTAAGTGAGGGGGAGAGAAACAGAAAAGGAACTTACAGGGATAACTGGGAACCCAATCATTTAGGGCCCTGCAGACCACTGTGAAGCCTATGGCTTTTTTGGTTCCTTTTCTTCCTTTTGGTCTCTGCTCAAATACCACCTTACCAGGTGAGAATATGATAGACACAGGGAACACCTAGATTACTCAGTACAGTACAGCAACTCAACAGCCCCAACTTCCCACATTTCCTTTTCCTTTATTCTTCATTTTCTTCATGGCACTTACCATCATCTGACATACTTATCTAGTTATGCAAACTCACATAGGAAGGAACTTTGCTCAGTGCAGTATTCCTAATGCTTTGAACAGTACCTATACACAGTAGATGCCTTTAACAAAAATCTGTTGAATAAACGAATAAAAATAACAATCTGGCATTTTTGTTTTAATCCTGCCTTATAAGCCAGGTAATTATGTGTTTCAACTTAAGTGGATTCACTTAAATGTCTTGACCAAATCAGGTTTCTAATCTGTTAACTGAAGAGCTGACTCTGAACTACCGTAAATTCACAAGGGTACTGTAATCCTGTCAATCTCACTTGAGAGGTAGCCTGTTGGCATTCACCTGGCAATTTCACTGTCTTCATTAACGCCATTAGACAGGAGCAATGCTTTTATCTGAATTTCAATAATCTCTATGTTTTAATTTTTCAGTGTGTGTCCAGCTTATATCTCAACTCGTTTGAATTGTTTGCATATAATGTTCAATACTTACGTTAACTTCAATCTTTTTGCATGACCAGGCATTACAGGAACATAAAGCATTTTGACTCCCTGTACCACCATTGTTGGCTCAATTCCATACTTCTCCTAAAAGTCAATACCCAAAAGAGAAAAAAAAAAAAAAT